AAACGGAATAATGCATTATCAAATTGCTATAGGCGAATGGTGCATCTGAAAGCTGCACCGGGTATGTGCGTGACGATGTATTTTTAAACTTTAGTAGACGAATGTTTTTCTCTTATTACCCACACGTTAGCCTATATTATTGCTGCAACTATTAATTATAACCTACAGACGAGTAATGGCAGCGCGTAATTGTTTAAAAATGTAAAACATTCTCTGAAAGATTTTTCTTAAAGTAACTCAAACAAGTTGCTGCAAAGAATGTTTTGCTCTTTATTTTGTTATTGTTATTCTTATGATTTAATTTGATGATATTTGTGTCCTTTTGACAGTTGTAAAGCCTGAGTGAGGTGAATGCATTTGTCTTATACTGATGTGAATTACTTCGATTTGCTGTAAATTGCCGCGTGAAAAATATCCTGAAGTGTAGTGTTTCTTTTTAGTGCCATATTTTACTGATTGCCTCAGTGTACAAGCATGTGACTACTAGCGAAACTACGTTGATTATATATATAGCCTAGGCTATCATCAAAGTTTCTAGAGAACCGCGAATTGAATTTGACTTATTCAAAGTTATAGTGTCTGTAAAAGTAAAATAAGCACAAATAATAAACTGGAGTAATGAGGATATGTTTAAGTCTCAAAGACTATTAGACACAGAGCTATTAAACAGGTAAAACTCTCCCTCAAATATTTACTTTTCATGAGTGTAGATAAATGCAGGTATCTAAAGTGAAAAATATATAAACACAATTAACGGAGACGAAGAAATTGCATCTATGTAATAATAGCTACAAGTCATTTACTGAGTGTGTGTGTGCGTGTGTGGAACAGAGAACAGCTGCATGAGTGTATGAACGTGAGCGTGCAGTTCATTGTATCCGCCCCCTTTTATGTGCTTATCCTAAAATCCCCAAAATGTACTATTTTAAATGACGACTTAGGAAGTTTTACAGTGTTATTTCTGTCAAAAATTACATCACTAACCGTGATTATCCAAAGAGAAGAAAAGGTACGTACTTGTCTGTTTCTGTGGGTTTCTCCATGTGTATATCCTTCATGTGTTTAATAGTATGTTTTGTCTGTATCCTTTGTCTGTTGAACTGTTCAAATATCAAATAACCACTGTTTTTAATGTCAAAATTAGAGACATCTGTTTAACTTGAAACATAGGCCTAACAAATGTGTGTGTGTGTGTGTGTGTGTGTGTGTGTGTGTGTGTGTGTGTGTTTTACTTAAACGTTATTATAATTATTGTTATTATTAATTTTAGTATTAGTATTAACAATTCACAGTCTTCCATATTTGAAGGTAATCAGGCTTGTGATTGATTGTTGTAGAGGGAGAATAGAGTGGCATTATCAGAGCTTCTAAGACTATAAATGAACTTAGACATCATTCTTAAAACTTGAGATAGACTTTATACTTGAATGAATCCTTCACTATTAAATTATGCTTGTCTTAATTTCTGTGGATGTTTGTTTCATTTTGTTTTATAATTACAGTAGGCATTTCTGCCACTATTTATAGAGAAAGAGAGAGAAAGAATATTTGTAGCATAAACAATGAGTTATTTAGTACCACTTGGAGGCTCATTTTAATTGCCACATTCGCTGAAGACAACAGGAACGCTAATATGTTTTATTTGCCGCAATAGCATGGCTCATGGTGGTTTTGTTAAACATTCCTGGTTAATAAACCGCTGTTAGTTCAGTTTAAAGAAGGAACTTTTCATAAAAATGTCCAGTCGAATATGAAGAAATTAATGCAAGTGCAATATGAGCAAGAACACACGCTGTGAAAATACTAATTCTCCAAAAAGTCCGTAAACTTTGAAATTCAGAAAAAGAAAAAGCACCACGTCATAGTACGAACAAAAAATTAAAACGTCTCAAATGTGCGTTTTTTCTTTGCCTCCGCATATTAGTGCAGCTCTCATGAACCGCAGAGATTTGAGAGTTCGTTTCTACCTTTAAACTGAGAGCAAAATCTGAGTAGCCCCAGTGGGTACGAGTCATTAAAGCTTGAGCAGCATTACCCCAAAATGTCTTTAATCTTAAACGTATGTTTATCCTATATGTTTTATAGTCTAAACTAATACTTTATTGGAAAGTTCCAGCCTATTTTAAGTACACAGATGTCTAAATACGGGAGATTAATGAATGTATGTCTCCATGCTAATCCAGATTTTAGCCTCAGCTCTAACATTTCTTTCAGTCTGGTTTCCAAAAGTGTCCGATGCAAGCACGAA